CCTACAGTTTATTGGTTGAACTGGAGGCAGCTGTGCGCAAGCTGTTTACTTCTCTCCCAGCGCCATATTGTGGGAGAGCAGATGCACAGAATAAGTCTTAATTCCAGTAACTCAGTCTAGTCCAGGTTGCTCCCCACAGAGGGAGAGCAGATGCATAGAATAAGTCTTAATTCCAGTAACAGTATAGTCCGAGTTGCTCCCCACACTCCAATGGCCGCCGTGGCCGGCGCACCGTGCTAATCCGATGGCAGGAGCCAGGTGCTTCTCCTGGTCTCCCATGGGGTGCAGGGCCCAAGCACTTGGGCCATCCTCCACTGCACTCCCGGGCCACAGCAAAGAGCTGGCCTGGAAGAGGGGCAACCGGGACAGAATCCGGCGCCCCGACTGGGACTAGAACCTGGTGTGCCGGCGCCGCAAGGCGGAGGATTAGCCTAGTGAGCTGAGTCACCGGCCTTGAGTCCTGTCTTGAATAATAAATTATCCATCCTTTTAGTAGGTACATTCATTTCTGCTCAATAGAATCATGTTGAGTTGTGGACAAGCTGGATTCCCAAGCTGTCAGTTCGGGACTTCAGACTACATATGCAGACAAGTAGGTCTGAGTGTCTTGCTTTTGGATTGAGAGGATTTAGAGAATTGGATGCTAACTGTAAGAGGACTAGGAGGTAGACAGAGATCCTGCTACTTACACAGAGTATCTGTGCCCACGCCCTCTGCTTGATTACCAAGTTCCCTTCTCGGGCCATAGCAGCCTTCTCCGGCTGTAGCGGCCATTTGGGGGTGAACCAACGGAAGGAAGACATTTCTCTCTGTCTCTCTCCCTCTCACTGCCTATAACTCTACCTGTCAAATAAATTAAAAAATAAAAAAGATCACCATTAGAATTTTGATGACACTTGCGCCAAGAGCCAAATGGGCAACTTTGTGGCCCAGATCTTACAGTGAAATGAAGGATAAGCCATCATCAGAGGACACCCTGGGGTGGAAGCTGGTAGTCCACCCTCCACATCAGTGACTGAGCGCATGCTCCGTACCCCAAAGCATTGTGCAAGTTATTGGGAATACAGAGAAGAAAACAGAATACTCTGCCTTCAAGGAGCTGACAGCCTTTCGGAGAAGAGTTGCCACAAATAAAAAACAAAAGTAAATAATAAGTAGGGAAGAAGAGACAAATATCCCACACAGAAGAATTCTCAATCATTTATGTAGACACTCTGCCCTCAAGGTGGCTGAACCTAACTCCCTGCTCCTTAAGGACACGACTTCCTTGCAAAGAGTGCAGCTTGGGAAGGCAGAACAGATGTGTAAATGTACAGTGGACAGGGCTGGTAAACACGACTGCGGCCACGTGCCCGGAGTCCCCATCAACAGTGCTAAGTCGTCCGGCGGCGTGGACCCTCGAGACAGCATGATGAGACCGTCACCTCACCTGTGTGGTCTTTCTTCCCATAATGCAATAGGCCCCATCTAATAGTGAGAAGAACATTAGCCAGTCCCAATTGCAGAACATTCTACAAAGTACCAGACCAATATTCCTCAAAACTGTCAAGGTCATCAAAGACAAGGAAAATTGGAGATTGTGTCACCGCGGAGAGGGGCCCGAGGGTTACAGTGTGGTGAGTTGGGTGAGATCCAGGAACAGAAAAGGGACATAGGTACAGCCAAGGAACTCCAAATAAAACACAGACTTTAGTCAATAACAATCTATCAGGATTGGTTCATTCATTGTGACAACTGTGCCATACTAAGTAAGATGTTAACACTAGGGGATTCTGGGGGTGGAGTGTTTGGGAGCTCTGTAGTCTCTGAGAAAATTTCCTGTAAACCTGAAACTTCCCTAAAATAAAAGTGTTCTTTTAAATCAGTGCAAGGAGCAAATGCCAAGACAGAATGGAATTGATTCATTCATTTACCTAGGGTGTCAGGTGTAGCAGTTCCTACCCTTGACATCACCAGATCACGATGTATAGAGCCTTGTGAGCAGGTGGCGTGCTCCGGGAAAATCAGGTTTGAAATAGACTTTGTTACCCTTCTGCTGGGATTTCTCTTAACCACCAGGGCGAAAAAGGCTTCCACATTTCATCAGAGGAATGCAGCAAAGGCGTTCGAGGTGGAACTCTAATGAGACAATAGTGAAAGAATGCAAAAATGAGAACTATTACTTAACCTCTAACATCGAGCTAGGTATAATGCACCCCAGGCTGCACATACGCATCATCTAGAGAGTTTAAAATGCTCACACCCCAGACCCGTTCTACTAACACCTCTGGGGAGGGACCCAAGCAGCAGTGCTTTTTAAGGCTCCCCAATTAGTCTCAATTTTGAATATCAAATACTCTTAATTAAAGCAGAATAAACTAGTCAAATATCCTAGGAGTATACTACCCTGAAGTGTTATCTAACTGAGTACAAAACCATCATCCAAACAACTCACTAAAAAATAATTAATTAATTAATTAATTAATGTAAGCCTGCACACTGTGGTGTAGCCAGTTAACACCCTGTCCTGAAGCGCCGGCATCCCAAATGGGTGCCAGTTCTAGACCCAGCTGCTCCACTTCCAATCCAGCTCTCTGCTATGGCCTAGGAAAGCAGTAGAAGATGGCCCAAATCCTTGGGCCCCTGCACCCGTGTGGGAGACTTGGAAGAATCTCCTGGCTCATGGCTTCAGATCAGCACAGCTCTGGCTGTTGCAGCCAATTAGGGAGTGAACCAGCAGATGGAAGATTTTTCTCTCTCTCTGCCTCTCCTCTCTCTCTGTAACACTGACTTTCAAATAAAAAAAAAATACACCTTTAAAAAAAGAAGTATTTATTTATTTGAAAGGCAGAGAGAGAGAGAGAGAGAGGAGAGGGATGTTCCATTTGTTGTTTCTCCCCACAGATAGCCACAACTTTGGCTGGGCCAGATTGAAGGCAGGAGCCAGGAATTCCATCTTGGTCTCCCACGAGAGTGGCAGAGGTAAGTACTTGGACCATCTTCCGCTGCTCTCCCAGGGAGGATGGATCAGAAGCGGAGCAGCTGGGACTGGAACCAGTGTTCCGAAATGGGATGCCAGAGGTGTCTCAGGCAGCAGCTTAGCTCACTGTGCCATAACGCTGGCCCCAGCAATTCATATTTTAATTCAAATGCACCCAGGTTTGACCTGCCTCTCTGCTTCAGATATTTCCGAAACAACTGGGCCAATTGTTTCTTACATGCAGGTATTTTTCCTTATGGTGAGGGCAGGTACAAAGTGAGAATGCAAACTCTGATCCCCACTCCTCCACCATCCTCCTCCATCAGCCTGTCCAAAAATAAAAATTAAATAATGACTAACTTCCCTTAAATGTTTCAAAACAAAATAATTAAAATGAATCTTGGGGTAAATAAGCATGAAATTCAATGAGGTGTTTCCTTTCTTTTTAAATGGTCACAGACCCAGGGTGTATCATGGAAATGGCAGCATAGTTTAGCCTCTGCCAAATCTCTCTGTGAAATTACATCCCAGGAGGCCACCTGTGCCCCAAGGGAGCCCTGGACACCATGCCCCACTCTGGCCCTGCGGGCACCTGCCTGCTCAGCAGCACAGTGGTGGCTTTGGTCCAGGAGGTGAACGATCCCTAATGACATAGCATCACGACAACGTGCCCCGCCTAATGGGAAGTTATCTAACCCTGATGGAAGACAGCTTTCATTGTCCTGAGGCTTGAAATTTCTCCCACGGAACATGTCAAGGGCTGTGGCTGGGTCACTGGATGTCTAAGAAAAGAGTAATTCTATTAGGGGAAAGATGAAATCTTTAAAGCAACCGCGACAATACACATCACATCCCCCCCCCCCACCCCCCCACCCCCGCCCAGCAGCAACAGTCCCCAGCCGCCGCCCTGGAAACACGCAGGGGTCCCAACCAGAAAGCCTTCAGGTGGCCAGGCTCTGTCTGGTTTCCAGGCGATGCTGGGATGCTTGTTCCTCCATAAAAAACGAGAGGGGAGGGTGGGCATTTGGCCCGGTTGTTGACACCCAGGACTCCAGCTTCCTGCTGATTAGGAACCGAGGGAGCCGCGGTAATGGCTCAAACGATTTGGCTCCCGCCACTCGCGTGAGAGACCTCGATCAAGTTCCTGGTTCCCGTCCGGGAGCCCACTGCTGGCGCCTAGGGAATGGGCCAAGGCAGCAGACTGGGATTGCTGTCTGTCTCTGCTTCTCAAATGACAGGATGTAAACGCGGTGGGACTACTACTCAGCAATAGCAAGCAAGCAAGTAACCTTACAGACCACCAGGCGTGAGTCTCAGGACGCACTCGGGGGAAGTGGAGCCCTAGGGCGGTAGCCGTCCACCCACCGCGAGGCTGCGGGCGAGGAAGCAGACGAGTGGGGCTGGGAACGGGACTGGCCAGCGAGCGCCAGCACCGGGGTCATGGTGGGGATGCCGGTTTGCACTTTAGTGTAAACATGGGAAGGATTTATGGCGAATAAGTCACAACTGAACAAGCGCACGGAAAGTGTACCGGGCCAGAGGTAGCCTTGGGGTTTGCTGGGCCCGAGGGTGGCTCCCCCGCAGCCACAGGCCACCCACCCGTGCCACTGGCCCCGTGTGCTGCCCCTGACCCATTTCCACCTTGAAAGAGTGCCCAGGGTGTGCGGGTCTCGTGACCCAACCCACAGCGGGGCTGCCAAGTCGGAAAGCCCACCTCGCTGAAAGAGCAGGAGAAAGGGCACAGGGAGCCGCCGCCCTCCCCTGCACGGCAGCAGCCGGCCGAGCGTCCTGTCGCCCTCGCCGTCGGACCGCCCGTGGGGACCGCCGCGCCCCAGCACTGGGGCTCCCCGGGGGCGCTGCCCGCCCCGACGCCTGCCCCGCAGGACTCTGTCCGGCACCGTCGCGCCTCCCCGAGGGACGCACGCGGAGCCCAGGTGGCCGACCCCCTCGCCGCGGGGGTGGCGCCTCCGCGCCGGCCTCCCTAGGGGGTGCAGAGGGGGAGAGGGCGGAGCCGGACGGCCGCCGCGGGGCCCCGGGACCCGCGCCCAGCCCCCGCCCCGCGCCCCCCGCGCAGTGCTCATGCGCGCGGCCCGGCCTTTATAGCGGCCCCGGGAGCCGAGCTGTCGGCACTCGGGTGCAGCCGTGCGGATCCCACGCAGGTGCGGAGCCCGGGCTTGTCTGTCCGTCTTAGCGTGGGCGCTCCGATCTCTCCCGGTGCGGCCCCGGGTTGCACATCGATTTGCAGTGGGAGCGCAGGGGGCGCTGGCCCCGGAGCCGCGGCTGCTCCTCCTCTTCCCTCCCCTCGGCTGCCCCAGGGTTTGCGAGGGGTGCGGGATCTCGGAGGAGGGGCAGGCGCGGTGCGGTGGGGACGCGGGGCCTCGGCTCCCGGCCCCCCTCTCCCCTCCCCAGCCTCTTGCACCTTCTCGCTGTCTCCCAGGTCCCGACCGCCGCTCAGCCACCATGTCTGCAGCCTGGCTCCCAGCTCTCTGCCTCGGTGGGTAGGCGTCCCCGGCGCCCCTTCCCCTCGCGCGCGGCCGGCTGGGACTGCTGCCAGCGCTCGCTTGCTCGCTCTCTCTCCGCAGGTGTGTGTCTGCTGCTGCCGCTGCCGGAGCCGGCGGGCAGCGAGGGAGCAGGTGAGTCCGCGGGTCCCGGGGAGGGGCCAGGCGATCCGAGGGGTTCCGATCAGGGCCCCCGGACCCTGGTTTGGGGCCCAGAGCTGGATCGTGCGAATGTGGGAGCCGCCACCTGGCGTACCGCAGGCACGCGAGCAGCCGTGGCTAACCCGTGCCTCGCACGCCGGGGGCCCCGGGCGTGGGTCGGTAGCGAGGCACGGGGAAGAGCGCGTGCACCGCGTCCACGCACGAGCCGGGCTCCCGGGCTGGCCGGGGCCGGGCCACGCTCTCCCGGGCGGTGCCGCTGCGTGTGGGGTCGCGGAGAAGCCTCGAAGACCCGACCTGGGGCTGTAGTCGCCCTGAGGGGGCGAGGCTCGCCGGGTTGGCCCGCCTTGGTCGGCGCACTAGCTTTGCTTCCAGGTGTACCGCTATGGTAAAAGCGGCCTTCTCCGTCCCACTTGGCGTGCGAGAAAGTCCAAAAAGAGTTCGTTCCACGTGTTCCACGCGTAGGGACGTGTATTTTGTGCAAGGTAAGAGGCGCACTCATGTCCACGAGCCGTCGCTTTCTTGGGACGCAGGAAAAAGGCTAAGTGTTGCCTCTGAGCGCGGGTCTCCCGCACACGGACCCTGCCCCCCCACCCCCACCCCGAGGAGGTCGGTGCTGGCAGTGGAGGGCGATCTCCCCGCCCGGAACCCACAGGGTGAAGGCTCTTGGAGCACAGGCACGAGACCAGTGCCGGGACGAGGGCTGTAGCTTTCCCAGCGCTGCAGAGGGTTTCAGAGCCAAAGACCGGGCGTGACACCTGGCAACACCCTCCCTTCCCCGGTGGACTGCACAAGGCGGGGTCCCTGGGCAGTGCGGCCAGACAGTATACCCCTGTCTTGGAAGAAAAGGGGGGTTGGGTGTTGGAAGCATCCGTCTCAACAGGATTTGGGTAGGCAGTTTGCTATGTTTGGCAAATAGCACTGAATGATTTTAATCTAGTGTGCTATCCTCAAGAAACCGATCGACTTCTGTGATCCCATGTCTGGCCCCACGTGGCCATCAGCTTGTCTTTACTTCCCTCTTTGCAATAACAATTTTAATGTTCTTACTTAGGCAGGTTGACTCAAAACTTAAAAATAGAGAGTGCTTTCTGAAAATGCATTCATCACCCGATGTGTCTTTGGGGGCAGATCTGGCGCAGAAATAGCCGGGTTTAATGGAGATAAAAATGATCCGTCCTGGAGGGAGCGACTTCCTGGCGGTTTCTTGGCCGTGGGGAGTTCGAAGAATGCTTTCTGGAGCAAATTGACCCATGGCTTTAACTTCCTCATCGGGGAAATGAATGATGGCGCTGAAGAATCTGGGAATCTAAACAAGCAGCAGTTCCCTGGTTTGCCTACGTTAATAGGTGGTGTTGGGGCTCCGCGTTGGTAACAGTTGGGATAATGGTTCAGGGAAGGGAATGCTGGCTTAGACAAGTGTGTGTTGGTGTAGGTGTTCCCCCGCAAGCTCAGCCCAGATTGAACACCCTCAGCACGCACTGCCTTAGGGACACGGTGTCAGCAGAGTTGCGATTTTTACATCTCATTGAGTAAATGTTCATTGCCCGCCGTTACTTTCTGGATCTGAAATATTTCCAAGTGTCTTATTTCCAACAGGGTTGAGAACTGGGTAAGTTCTCCCATTAGGCTTTTGGTGTGGCTGGGGACTACTTTCAATTGGAAAGCCAGCTTTTGGCTCATTAAAACCTGGAATGGTATAGAACAGTACATCAGTCGTTATTCGTAGAATAACGTAGGCGTAGAAATTAGGGAAGTAAAGCGCAGCTCTCCCACCCTGCCTTCCCAGAAGCCTGAGGAACCAAGTGACTGCTCTCCCCTGCTTTCTCTGCAGTTCCCTTGGCCATCACGTGCACTACCAGAGGCTTGGATATCAGGAAGGAGAAAGCAGATGTCCTGTGCCCCGCCGGCTGCCCCCTGGAGGAATTCTCCGTGTTTGGGAACATAGTGTATGCTGCTGTGTCCAGCATCTGTGGGGCCGCTATCCATAGGTAAGCCGGAGCTCATGGTGGGGAGACACCTGCTAGCATGCCGGTTCCCGTCTCCCAGCAGCCACCTGCAACCCCTTCCTCCCTGCTTTTCTTTTCTTTTCTTTTTTCTTTTTTTTTTTTCCTTGCCAACTTTGGCCTTAGAAAGTGGGTTCCTTTGCAGAGTTTTCCTGGCTTTCCTTGAAACAGTAAATACATAAGGGAAGCTCTCTGACAGGCAAATTTCTCTTCTGGATAACTAGATTTGTGATTCTAAAGCATTCCTGATTGCACCATGTTTTACTATATGCCTGTCATTTCTTCTGCTATGGTTCTACAACATAGAGTTTTGTAGATGAGGAGCAGGAACTCAGAGACTGTCAGATATCTTGCCCAGGGTCACTGTTGCTAGCAGGTGCCATGCTGTTCTGCGTTGGAAAGGCCGCTAGCATACATTTTTATAAAATGCCATTCCAGGGCATACAGTTAGAGTATCTTCCGTGCGCTCTTGTTGATCTCTGAGCTGCCGGGAACAGGCCATTACAAGTGTATTCTCATCAACAGCAGCACAAAGCCGTGGCCCCAGGCAGGTCTTGTTGCTGTTGTAAGCAGGTTTTGAGAAGGCTGGCAGCTTCCTAGATGCCTTCCCTGCTGAGCTGTTTCCTTGATTCATCAGAGCAACAGGTGCAGCACAGCCTGTGAGTCAGTCCGATGCCCTGGTGCGGGGAGCGTCCCAGCCTAACCACTTGTGTTGCAGGGGAGTGATCGGCACCTCAGGGGGACCTGTGCGAGTCTACAGCCTCCCTGGCCGGGAAAACTATTCCTCAGCAGATGCCAACGGCGTCCGCTCGCAGACGCTTTCCAGATGGTCCGCTTCTTTCACGGTGACGAGTAGGTACAGTTACGTTGTTCTCACTTTTGTATTAACACTGCCCCCTCCAAAAAAATGTGTGCTGCTTTTCTTAGCCCAGCCTCTTTGATGGCAAAACTTATGGCCAAGAAGAGGTCAGCTATGGTTTTGAATCGGGAGACGAGAGGGTCAAGTACCCTCTGTAGCCCACCTTGGGTAAATGGGGGAGGAACAGCCTTGTAGTGAGATGGTGGCCCCAGGAACTTGAATTGTGTGCAGTCAGAATGCTTGAACACTTGCCCTGAAAAACTGGTGAACTCATTTTTAGTAATCCTTTAGAAGATGACAGCTGAAGAATTCCTTTTGGTTCACTGAGAACACGCAGCGTGGTGCTCATATCTGCAGCCACCATTACGCTGTTATGTTTATCAACCTACAGAATCCAAAATTAAATTCTTTAATACTTTGATGCTGTAGAAGAGGGAAATATAAGCTTTTCTTTATCTTAACAGAAGGCAAAAGTAGCACCCAGGAAGCCACAGGACGAGCAGTATCCACAGCACGGCCCCCAGCAGGTATGAACTAGGGAACCTTTTTCATGGTTGCATGCCACAGCATTTGAGTCATGAATGTGTTATTGTCGAAGCTTTCCTTTTGAAAATCAATTAAAGAGAAACACAGCAAATATGCTAAATGTATATATTAAATATATAAAATATATTTTAATATAAATATTGTTAAGCATTCTATTTTGTTTCAAATTCCTTTTCCTTACTATATTGTCAGTTATGAACTCTGCTACCTCTCTCCTGAGGTCCTCCTCTTTCTTCCTGATTTGATAACCCAGGCCTTGCAGCTTCTTTCTAGTTCCATTTGTGTTTTTTTCTTTATGTTCCCTAAATTACGGCAGTGTAAAAGGAATCAAAGGAATTGGTATGTGGCGACTGCAAGAAACAGCCAGGGGTCTGTTTTCTAGACCTTGGCAAGTGTTAAAGCCAAATAAATGAAAACATTTTTTAAAAATATTTATTTATTCATTTGAAAGGCAGAGTTACATAGATAGCAATCTTTCATCCATTGTTTCACTCCCCAAAATGGCTGTAATGGCCGGAGCTGGGCCAATACAAAGCCAAGAGCCAGGAGCTTCTTCCAGGTCTCCTACTTGGGTGCAGGGGCTCAAGGACTTGGGCCATCCTCTGCTGCTTTCCCAGGTGCATTAGCAGGGAGCTATTATCAGAAGTGGAGCAGCTGGGACTCGAACCTGCATCCATACAGGATGCCTGCACTGCAGGCAGCAGCTTTACCTCCCACAGTGCTGACCCCAGAACATCGGATTTTAACTGAGTTTCCAAACTTGCTCAGCTGTGGGTTTGGAATATCAAAGTCCTGGATTAAAGTCAAATATCAAATGTATGGGCCTATTCCGGTCCTCCCTTATTTCTTTGTTGGAGCATTGTTCCCTGGTCCAGAAAACCATGAGAACATGAAATTTTTTCAAGTCTTAAAAAGTGATACTCCTGGGGCCAGCGCTGTGGCTCACTTGGTTAATCTTCCACCTGCGGTGCTAGCATCCCATATGGGAGCCAGGTTCTAGTCCCGGTTGCTCCTCTTCCAGTCCAGCTCTCTGCTGAGGCCCGGGAGGGCAGTGGAGGATGGCCCAAGTGCTCGGGCCCTGCACCCACATGGGAGATCAGGAGGAAGCACCTGGCTCCTGGCTTCAGATCGTCCCAGCGCCGGCCGTAGCGGCCATTTGGAAAGTGAACCATTGGAAGGAAGACCTCTCTCTCTCTCTCTCTCTCTCTCTCTCTCTCTCTCTCTCTCTCTCTCACTGTCTAACTCTGCCTGTCAAATTAAAAAAAAAAAAAAAATGACACTCCTTGTCAAGAGCTTTTCCTGGTAAGGGCTGCTCACTATGGAAACCGTCCTCCTTTTGCTAATGCCAAGTGTTTCTATTGTTTTAGGTAAAAGGCTAAAGAAAACACCAGAAAAGAAAACCGGCAATAAAGGTAAGACTCAAAATACCCACTTGGGAAAATGGCATTTCCCCCTCTTCACTCTTGATACTCTTAACAAAAGACTTCTGTGTTCACAGACTGCAAAGCAGACATTGCATTTCTGATCGATGGAAGCTTTAACATTGGACAGCGCCGATTTAACCTGCAGAAGAATTTTGTTGGGAAAGTGGCTCTGATGCTGGGAATTGGAACAGAAGGCCCACACGTGGGCCTCGTTCAAGCCAGGTACCAACCTTGTAAAAATGGGAGAAGACTTGAGTCCTGTCTTGAATGATAAATTATCCATCCTTTTAGTAGGTACATTCATTTCCGCTCAATAGAATCATGTTGAGTTGTGGACAAGCTGGATTCCCAAGCTGTCAGTTCGGGACTTCAGACTACATATGCAGACAAGCAGGTCTGAGTGTCTTGCTTTTGGATTGAGAGGATTTAGAGAATTGGATGCTTAACTGTAAGAGGACTAGGAGGTAGACGGAGATCCTGCTACTTACACAGAGTATCTGTGCCCACGCCCTCTGCTTGATTACCAAGTTCCCTTCTCGGAAAGATGATGCAGTGATGGCTCTGTTCTTCCCGTTCTGTCATTTTTAGTTCATTCCACATTCTCTTAGCTGGAGATATGAAACATGATCTTTTCATCTTACTCATTTAAAAATATTTACTGATAGTTTTTTTAAACTTTTTTTTAAGATTTATTTATTTATTTATTTGAAAGTCGGCATTACACAGAGAGAGGAGAGGCAGAGAGAGAGAGAGAGAGAGAGAGAGAGAGAGAGAGGTCTTCCATCCAGTGGTTCACTCCCCAACTAGCCAGAACGGCTGGAGCTGTGCTGATCTGAAGCCAGGAGCCAGGAGCTTCTTCCAGGTCTCCCACGTGGGTGCAGGGGCCCAAGGACTTGGGTCATCTTCTACTGCTTTCCCAGGCCATAGCAGAGAGCTGGATTGGAAGAGGAGCAGCCGGGTCTCAAATCAGCGCCCATATGGGATGCCGGCACTTCAGACCAAGGTGTTGACCCACTGCACCACAGCACCGGCCCCCTGATAGCTTTTCAAATTAGAATATGCTCATTATAGAAAGTTTGAAAAGTATATAAAGCTCAAAGAAAATTTCCGAAATCATACCTCCTACATATAAACATGTTTCACTTGATTTCAGTATTTTAAGAAAATATTGGACTATATATGTATTTTTTTTCAACAGCCCAAGCTATAAAAGTGACTTCTATCTTTGTGCTCATCCTTTAGTATTTTGAGCATATTCTGATCACAAATACTCACCCAAAATGATGTTTCATGATATTCCCATATTGTTGATTGTTGATTGTTCCCCAATTATTCTATTGTTTTTTCACCATTATGTCACATTACCTCAATGCCCTGAGCCTTGGTTCCTTCACTGACCTAACTGGGATAATAACTTCTGTCTTGTAGAGTTATAGAATGAGATCATACATGTGACATGTATTTAATGCATTAGCCAAAATATACTAACCCCTCAATGTAGCAATTGTCTTTGTTACATTTCTCAAATATCCCCGATAATTGTACAATAAGGATGCAATGCCTTGGTGAGCTCTATACCGAGGGATTAAGAAAAAACCTTGGATGTTGTTTGACTTTAAAAAGAAAAAATTTGAGGGCCTGGCGCTGTGGCTCACTTGCTTAATCCTCCACCTGCAGCACTGGCATCCCAAATGGGTGCCAGTTCTAGTCCCGGTTGCTCCTCTTCCAGGCCAGCTCTCTGCTGTGGCCCGGGAGGGCAGTGGAGGATGGCCCAAGTGCTTGGGCCCTGCACCCCATGGGAGACCAGGAAGAAGCACCTGGCTCCTGGCTTCAAATCGGCACAGCACTGGCCATGGTGGCCATTTGGGGGTGAACCAATGGAAGGAAGACCTTTCTCTCTCTCACTGTGTATAACTCTACCTGTCCAAAAAAAATTTTTTTATTATTTGTAAGAGTTATAGAGAAGGAGAGTCAGAGGCAAAGAGAAGTCTTTTATCTGCTGGTTCATTCCCAGTGGCCGCAACAGCCAGGCTGAAACCAAGAGCCAGGAGCTTCATCAGGGTCTCCCATGTGGTTGCAGGGACCCAAGAACTTGGGCCATCTGCTGCTTTCCCAGGCACATTAACAGGGCACTGGATTGGAAGTAGAGCGTCTGGGATTAGAACCGGCACCTGTATGGGATGGTAGTGCTGTAGGTGGTGGCTTAACTCACTACACCACAGCACCGGCCCCTGACTTAAAACTTCTGACTTGGGGCCTGCACCCTGGCTCACTTGGCTAATCCTCCAATGCCTTGCGGTGCCAGCGTCCGATATGGGCGCCGGGTTCTAGTCCCGGTTGCTCCTCTTCCAGTCCAGCTCTCTGCTGTGGCCCAGGAATGCAGTGGAGGATGGCCCAAGTGCTTGGGCCCTGCACACGCATGGGAGACCAGGAAGAAGTACCTGGCTCCTGGCTTCGGATCAGCGTAGCTCCAGTTGTAGTGACCATTTGGGGGGTGAACCAATGGAAGGAAGACCTTTCTCTCTGTCTCTGACTGTCTAACTCTGTCAAATAAATTTTTTAAAAATTAAAAACTTCTGACTTTACAAGTGTATACATGTATTGAAAGATTTCAACATGGTATCCCATAAGTGCATATAACTTATATGTGTCAGTTTTGAGATCTTCATCTGCTACTTCACTCCCTAAATGTCCACAACAGCTGGGGCTGGGCCAGACCCAAACCACAAGCCAGGAACTCCATCTGGGTCTCCTGTGTGGGTGGCAGAGACTTAAGTACTTGAGCTATCTCTACTGCTTGCCAGGATGCACATTAACAGGAAGTCGAATGAGAAGCAGGGTAGCCAGGACTTGAACCAGGCCCTGCAATATGGGATGTGGGTATCCAATAATGTGCTGTAATTGTAAACACAAAAAATTTTAAACATGGGTTTAAAATTGTTATGGCATGTTTGTCTTTCCAATATTCCATGGATAACATTTTGTTTGTTTTTCTACTTAGTGAGCATCCCAAAATAGAATTTTACTTGAAAAACTTTACAACAGCCAAAGATGTTTTGTTTGCCATAAAGGAAGTAGGTTTCAGAGGGGGTAATTCCAATACAGGTAAGTAGACTTGGACACCTGGGATGTCATGTAGGACAGGGTTATCAGCGGTCAGACATACAAAAAAGTATTATGGTATTTTTTATAGAATTTAAAATTTTTCACTTATTTGGTGGGAGAGGAGAACAAGCAAGTGAAATTGAGTGCTCCCATCTGCTGGTTCACTCCCAAATGCCCAGAACAGCTGGGACTGGCCAGGTCAAAGCCAGGAACTGGAAACTCAATCCAGGTCCCCCACACTGGTGGCAGGGACCCAACTGCTTGAGCTGTAACTTGCTGCCTACCAGAGTGCCACTAGCAGAAAGCAGGAATTAGGAGCTGAGCCAGGACTCAAACATTAGGCACTCCAGTATGGGACATATAGGTCATCTCAAGCAGTGTCTTAGCTGCTGGGCCAAACACCTGCCCTGAAGCTATTTTACATAAGCAGTAACTCAACTTTTCCTCCTGGTACTGACATCTTGTCTATATCTGCAGTTGACCATCTGAGATATTTACTTTGTAATGGAAAATACACCAAAGGGTTGACCTTATTATTATTACAGAACCAAGTGCTATGTAATTTAAGTTCTTAAAACTCAGGGGTATCGTGTTGCTATGGGAATGACAGATCTGATTTGAGGAGTGATAAATGCGTTTGGTGCTTCTTCAAACCTAGGAAAAGCATTGAAACATACTGCTCAGAAATTCTTCACGGCGGACACTGGAGTGAGAAAAGGGATCCCCAAAGTGGTGGTGGTGTTTATTGACGGCTGGCCTTCTGATGACATCGAGGAGGCTGGCATTGTGGCCAGAGAGTTTGGTGTCAATGTATTTATAGTTTCGGTGGCCAAGCCTATCCCTGAAGAACTGGGGATGGTTCAGGATGTTGCGTTTGTTGACAAGGTAAAGTGGCATGGGGCAGCTTCTGGTGTGGTGCTCTGGGATTCAGTTTCAGACCTCTTCGTGTAGTGCTGGCTGGCTGGCCCGTTATCTAGATTAGCTCTGAATGCTCAAGATAGACTGCTTTTATAATTTCTAAGACAAAATGGTGTCTGAGCCCTTTGGATATCTTTTGTGTCTCCTCCAACAGGCTGTCTGTCGGAATAACGGCTTCTTCTCTTACCACATGCCCAACTGGTTTGGAACCACAAAATACGTGAAGCCTCTGGTTCAGAAGCTCTGCACTCACGAGCAGATGATGTGCAGCAAGACCTGCTATAACTCAGTCAACATCGCCTTCCTGATCGACGGCTCCAGCAGCGTCGGGGAGAGCAATTTCCGCCTCATGCTCGAGTTTGTTTCCAACATAGCCAAGACTTTCGAAATCTCAGACATCGGTGCCAAGATAGCTGCCGTCCAGTTCACTTATGATCAGCGCACAGAATTCAGTTTCACTGACTACAGCACCAAAGAAAACGTGTTGGCCGTTATAAGAAACATCCGCTACATGAGTGGTGGAACAGCTACTGGCGATGCCATTTCCTTTACCGTCAGAAATGTGTTTGGGCCCGTGAGGGACAGTCCCAACAAGAACTTCCTGGTCATCATCACAGACGGGCAGTCCTACGACGATGTCCGAGGCCCCGCTGCCGCCGCACATGATGCAGGTAAGGTTCTTGTCTTTTGTATGAGAGGGAACTGAGGGGTTCAGTTCATTTCAGGAGTAAATAAATGTTCCTGTTTACTGAACAAACACTTGCAGTGTGGTCATTGTCCCAACAGCCTCATCATTAACTGGTAAACTGGCAAAGCACCCTCCTCACCTATATATAAGGAAACAAACCGAAGAGATACAGCTAGTTAAGTAGTGAAGACAGGATTCAGATCCAGGCATCCGGCTGGAGTCCACGCTGCTAAGCACTGGCCTGGTGGGAGATTTACTTGCCAACATCCACATTACATGTGCTCCCCTCAAACATGTCATGTGTCCCAAAATCCTCAGAGGTTACTGTTGCCTCCCATGTCATCATATATCCTAACTTTTCAGTTGGAGTTTCCTAACATGATAAATCCTCCAATAAAGACTTTAACCTACCCCATCTAAATTTTCTTCCCATTTTCTCTTGAGATAATGAACTATAGGATTCAAGGTTTCTTTCTGCTGTCAACCTTGCTTGGCAAAGGCCTTGTTCCTGAAAAAATTAACCTAAGGTGTTGCCAAGACACATAGGCCACAAGGAAGTGGAGGTCTCCTGTCTGGAGATGGTAGCAAGTGGCTTAGGAGGGAGCCAACAGCCTCACTTTTCTACACTGTGTATTTCCCCCTACCCAATTCCTAATGCTTAACCTTTTCCCTTCCTTCTGATTATGACTTCTAATATATTTATGTATTTTTGTAATTATTAATGAAATACTGTTTTCATTAAGTAGGACAGAGAACTGATACAGCAATTTAAGCTATATATCTGGACTAAAAAAGTAGTTTTTATACATCAGCAGCTAACCTATGTTGAAGTGAAGACCTGCTTGCTGTCATATTCCTTAAAACTTAGCCTGATCACAGTCAACAGTATTGTATTCAAGCTGAAGTGAATTAAATCCAAATATTTTCTGATGAAACTTCAGGAGGTTGGGGCCACACTGTCTTGAAAATTATCCCTTAGTGATAGCAAAAGTTACAAAAGCCAGAAAATAGGGTAGCCTTTTAGGGTACATCACAATTTGTCATTGTTAATTATATATTGGGTCTGAGCTGAATAATCAGAACTAGAACACAGAACTGAAGAGAAGACAGAGAGAAGAGGAAAATACTTGTGCCAGGGGTTGAAGAGTGGAGAGGGGATTAGCTAGTGGCGATTAGAAATGGTTTCAAGTAGTTTTTACATCATCTAAATCTGCAACGTGGGCGGGAATGAAGCTGTGGTTAGTGGGGGAGGAGCTGGTTCAGAAACAAAACGTTAGGGAATTCCACCCTAGGAGAAGACAGCAGTAGCAGTCCACATTAGGAAGCTGCTAAACAAATAGTTTGAAAAAATGGGATTGAGGTGAATCCAACTAATACTATTTGGAATGCATCAACGAATCTGGAAGGCTTCATAGGAATCTTTTTTGACAGTTTATTATTACCAGATTTTTGTTTTGGAAGTAAAGACATTGTTGGGACAGTTTACCTGTATAATTATTAAGATTAAAATGGAAGAATTAAGTTAGATCATTATCTACAGAGCCCTTGTCCCCATTCCCCCAACAACGCAACCTTATAGAACTTTATATACTCATCCCATCTTTTGTGCCATTCTTGCTTTAACGTACTGGTTGCAGTCTCACAATGTTTAATTGCCGTGATAGGCAAGAGGAGGGATTTCCTGCTTATCTGAAAGGAAGTTTTCACCATGCATGTTTGCTGTTATTTTTTTCTTATAATACTGTGTCAGGTTAATAATTACTACTTTGTAAGTGCACTGTTTCATGGATGATCCTCAACCTTATCAAATACTTTTTCCTGTGTCAGTGAACATATATTTCTGTAAATGTGATAGCAGAGTTGCTGGTTTTGACTAAACTATTGAGAAACTTTGAATACCAGGACTGTGAAAACCTAACAATTTGATACAGGGGATTTAATTCTTCAGAAATTACTACGCAGTTTTCTCTGTGACTACGTGCTAATACATGAAAAAAATGTGCACATCATTTTTAATGTAAGATGGACCTGATTTTAATTCATTTAAAAATACTTCCATTGCAGGAATCACCATCTTCTCTGTTGGTGTGGCTTGGGCACCTCTGGATGACCTGAAAGATATGGCCTCCAAACCGAAGGAATCTCACGCTTTCTTCACAAGAGAGTTCACAGGATTAGAACCAATCGTTTCTGATGTTATTAGGGGCATCTGTAGAGATTTCTTAGAATCCCAGCAATAGTGACTTTTGACAACTGAAAGAGAAAGTGCAAGAGGATCTAATGTGTAAATTGTATTCTCACAATACTGAAATACTGTAGCATCAGATATAAAACTATTAAAGATGTCAACAGCTATTTTAAGCACATAAGCATTCATTTAGAGCTACTACTTTCTGATTACAATTGTTCAAAACACTCTGCTGAGACTTCATAATCATGACCCACAGAAACTCAGGAGAGGAAATATTGTAAATTAAAGTCCTAAACAGTTCTAAGATGCCTATTGAATGTATTAATATGCAAATTCGATAGCTTAATAAAAGAATCTAGTACTTAGACCAAAAGCAGTTTTCCTTCTCTATAATCATTCTATACTGACTGCATAAGAAAAATGAAAGAGAAATTTTAAAAAGCTCTTAAATATTCTGACCTAAGTGGATGTTCTCAAAACTAAACAATAGATGGCTGTTACTTCTCACTAAAAAGTTAGGATGATATGAAAAGGAATTATGTATCAAGCTCCCATTATGTTCCATTTTCATTACAACATCATCAAAATTATCAAACAAGATAGCAGGGTTATTTTTCTATTTATAGCCTTAATTTTATATGTATATAGATGTATTTGGCTTATACTTTACCAATTTTTTTAGTACTTGGACGACTTTTAAAGTTTTTACTTATTGCTTATACTTTAGTTTTTTAAAGATTTATTTGAAAGAGAGTTACAGAGAGAGGTAGAGACAGAGAGAGAGGTCTTCCATCCAATGGTTCACTCCCCATATGACCGCATCAACCAGAGCTGATTCGAAGCCAGCAGCCAGGAGCTTCTTCCAGGTCTCCCACGCGGGTGCAGGGGCCTAAGGACTTGGGCCCTCTTCTACTGCTTTCCCAGGCCATAGCAGAGAGCTGGATTGGAAGAGGAGCAGCCGGGACTCGAACCAGCGCCCATATGGGATGCAGGTGCTGTAGGCTGCAACTTTAACCTGCTGTGCCACAGGGCTGGCCCCTTACTGTTTATACTTTAAAGGACACATTTCAAATAAGAGAATGCAAGGGAAAACACTCTAGTTTAAATATTTAAGCAATAAAACTGCTAGTAACTATTCTAAAACACTACTTACAATTTCAAGTCTCTCTCCAAGATATGGTAAAAATTGAGTTTGTTCTAATTAATGTAAACACCAATCAATTTTTTAAAAACCCATGCAATACCAAGTATATTTTTTTCCAATTACTGAATACCTACTGTTCAGATTAAACACTGAGTTGTTTTTGAGTACTTCTTTCAACAGAAAAGTTTTGCAATTAACATTTTTAAAATGTGATTGTAAAGTTCGTTCCCAAGAAAGAACATTAAGACTCAACATGACCTAGGTGACTGGCTCATTAAGTCCTCCCCACACATAGGTTTTCCATCATCCCATCTTGCCTGCCTTCTCTAAAGAGAGGTCCCGTCCCCATGCCCACCTGTGCACCCTACTTCCCTTCAAATATGCACGGATTCTATTTGAAACTTAACAGTTGACCTAAAAAAGGTTAAAATAAATCTCTTTTACAGCCCATGTAAAAGGAATAAAGGTATTATGTGTAGGTAAAGGCAGAACTGGAGTTGCCCTTCAGACTAGTAATTTTGACAAAATGAACTTAGGAGAAAATAATCACTCTCTTCCCCCTTCATAAAAAACAGTAAATATGGTTGTTCATGTAACAAGGAGATTTTCAATTAAAACCAAAAATGGGTTTAATTTTCTCCAGTAACAGACTACAAATTCTCAGGGATACCATCCCTTAAAAACAAACAAACAAACAAAAACCACTAAGCTTTAATGAAAATCTAGCTTCCAGAAATTAGGCCTTTTATAATTTTATAAAGGACAGAGTTTTGAAGCTTCTCAGATAACCAGGAAAGCTAATACTTTTATTGACTTGAAGAGCGGAAATCAAGTTTAAGTTACTGTAAATTTTATGAGTAAATAACTGGGATTAAGAGTTAGCAACTAAAGGGAATAGTAAAAAAGGATTAAAGGGGCCTGTGCTGTGCCCTAGTAGGTTAAGTGACTGCCTGTGGCACTGGCATCCCATATGGGCACCAGTTCAAGTGCCAGATATCCCATTTCCAATCCAGCTCCTTGCTAATGGCCTGGGAAAGCAGTGGAGGACAGCGAGGTGCTTGGACCCCTGCACCCATATGGGAGACCAGGAGGAAGCTCTTGGCTCCTGGTTTCTGACTGGCTCAGCTTCCACCATTGAAGCCATTTGTGAATTCAACCAGTGGATGACTTTCTCCCTCTTGCTGTAATTCTGCCTCTCAAGTAAATAAATAAATCTTTAAAAAAATTTAAAAAGGTAAAAGGATTTAAAAAGACATTTTACGAAATAGTTTTGACACACCTAAATTGCAAATATGCTAGCTCATTTGTAACTTAAATTTTATTTAAGGGGGGTAGTGAGCAAGCAAGCGAGCTCTCACTTGCTGGTTTTACTCCTCGTGTCCTGAAGAAGGGAGTCAGAACAAAATCCAGGTCACCTATGGGTGTAAGAACCCAATTACTTGGGTTATTTTCACTGCTTCCCAGGGTGTGTATTAGTAGGAAGCTGGAGCCAGGAATCAAACCCAGGTACTCCAATCTGGGATGCAGATGTCTAAACTGCTGGGCTAATGGAGTAAAATACTCCCTAATTCATGACTTTTAATACATTAAGTGAGATGTTGGTCTTCAGTGGATTACTTTAGTTTGCAATAGAAAAATAACATGAATAAAACATGAAAGAGAAGAATATAATTACATACTGAGAACAAGTCAACACATTAAATTTGTATATAAAAATAACCTTAAGCCTTATGCATAAAGTATATTTAATAGTCAAATTAATCTACATAATTTACCATAAATCACAAATGGAAGCATACAAATAATATGAAAATAAATACATTCTTTTTGTATTCCTTTAGTCTCTTCCAAAAGTTTAATATTGTAGAGAAAAATACAACCAAAGTGGGTAAGAGAAAAATAAACATATATACTAATTTTTATCCATTTCAGTTCTAATACATTCCAAGAGAGTGAAGTTTAAGCATTGCAGTGATAATCACATTTCATTATACAGTGATGCACTGGGTTGGAACAGCTGCCAGCAACAACACTAGCTTTGGAAAAGTTTCTTAAATTACTTCAAATTTTAAAAAATGATGAGAAAACTGTCTCTTTATTTTGTTCATTAGTTGAATGTTTAATTCAGAAAACAACCTGTAAAAAAATGTTTGAGAAGTTTTAATGTTTCATCATCAATGACTGAAATTGCTACTTGGATTTTCATGATAGATGACAAAATTTCTCAACGTACACACAGTGTAGCTTTTTTTTTTTCTGCAGCAGGTATTCAAATAGAATTCTGCACACAATTTTTCTAGTGTTCTGAGCCCATATGAAATTTCCTTCAAAGAAAGAGGATGATTCTACCTTACAGAAGGAAAAGGTTTCAAGATAGTAATACTAAGCATTATTTATAAGGATAAGTTTAACAAATAATGTAGTTTATTCTCTGCTGAACTTTTCTATGGAAAGTTGTGCCTACAGAGGCCCACCACCACCACTAACAAATTCAGATTTAATAAAGTAACAAGATGTCTAAGAAAATTACTTAAAATTGTATCTCTATGACTTTGTGGGAGAGAGAGGGGCTGTTTTACTTTGAATTGCCTAGCTTATTTTAATAGAATATTTTTTTAAAATCCCCAAAATGGAGTAAAATACTCAGAAAGGCATTTTTAATATTACTGTTCTAATATTACTAGAATATCAATACACAGTAAAAAGTATAAAAGAACAGTATAAAAATGAAGGACTCACTAAGAAATCATCTCCATTTCCTAGTTTAATTATGGAGAGTAAAGTATTGCACTTTATTATTCAACACAAAATGATGTAGCCAACAGTAACATACAGGTACACAATTTAATATTTATTATATGCATTTTATATACATTATTTTTCAACAGCTGTATGTTTGCTATGTGGTACAATCTTAAAAACTGGATGATTCATAGTTTGTAAAACAGAAACCTTACAAAACTCATCAAAACTTGCAAACTGATCAGAAAAGTTTTTTGGAAGACTAGAAAAAATACTTTATTGTCTTAATCATGCATCACACAAACAAAATCTTTAGTTACACCATAAAATTAAGCACACCTAAAAAAATAAAACAGGGAAAACTAGTCCAAACACAGATTTCTGTATCCTGATTCAATTATTTTGTGTCCTATTCGTAATGCAAATAAAATTTTACTCCAAATATTTTCAAACAAGATAGTTTTGTTTGGAATCATGGTGAACCAAGATACATATCTTGGGGAGAACCACCTTGGTTTGTAACTTAAACTATAAAATATTCCATTTTTAGTCTATTTTAGACTATTCAAAGAGTTCCAAAATAGATATACAGGTTCCTTTAGCACATTAATAAAAGGATATAAAGACCAACAAAAAGTGAAATAAATAATAGGCCATTAGCAAGATGGATAATCCTTGATAAATAAACTTGTAAATACAGTAAGATGTACAAAATATCACATAGTGATAGGATGCCAAGATTAGTTTTTCTTTTTAAAGAGTTCCTTTGGAGTACTAAACCCCATTGTTTCATTTTAATATACTTAATAGTCCTTGGTTTATGAAGACATTTATATGACGATGAAGGTGATTTAGCATCTTTCTGGAAGGACTTAGCTGAGCTGTATTAGGCAGAAGGAGGAAAGTTAAGTGGTTACAGGGCAGCGGGTCAGTGAGATCTGCTTTAGGGGCGTATAATGCAGACAAACTTCAATACAATCTTGAGCACTGTTGTGACAGGCTAAATATATAAAAAGACTTATAAAAACTAGAATTTTATCCAAACATTTTGTGCAACTAATGCTAAAATATTTTAAGTTAAATTTTCTTTTCTTTTTTTTTTTAAAGCAAAATAAGTTTAAAAGGGAATCTGTGGCATTCAACTGATAAACAGAAGATCACTAAGAGATGAAAAACAGCTACTCTTGGAGCTCACTTCCCCCAACAAGAGCACCACATTCCTAACCCTAAGGCAGCACACAGAGTCCAAAAAAAGAGTCTTTTTGTAAGATCAGACTCCACATTGGCTTATAGACACCTTTAAAAAAAAAAAAAAAAAACACAAAACACAAAAAACAGAACATATGCTCAGTTCGTATCCAGTACAGGCCACAAATACTGGAGTCCTTTTTTCCTTTTGTCCCATGAAATACACTAATTACAGTTAAATTAATGAGCCTGACATTAAGATGTGATTTCCATCAACTTCGACCTGCCCCGAACAGCCTTCACCAGGCCGATCACGTGTAGTGTCATATCAGTAACCTTTTCTGATGGCAGTGATGCAGACCCTCTTTCTGTCCAAGCAAATCTTTTGCTATGATGTGAGTTTTTGCTGATTCACACAAAAACTTTGGCAAGGGCATCAGCTCCTGCACTGGCAATATATGCTTTTGATGGATGGAAAGCAACATCATAAATTGATTCATCCAATTTCTTCCTATGAGCTGTTATTTCTTGCACACATGTCTTGCTGTCTAAGTTCCACAATCTAATAGAACAGTCATGACCTGTAAAAGAACAAGCAGTTTATTACTATCAATTCTTCTATAAAGCTTATGGGTAGAGTACAAGAAATTCAAACTTACTTCCAGACATCAAGTAGATTCCATTAGGATCTACTGCTAGACTTGTAACAGCATCCAAATGAGCTACCATAGAATGGATCATTTTACCTAAATACAACAGAGAAGAAATACTAGCTTTAGGAATCCGAAGCTACAACACAGCACAGCAATACTGTTTTTATTGCAGTAAAAACTATGCAACATAAAATTTACCATTCTAACCATCTGACAGTATATAATTCAGTGGCTTTTAGAACATTCACAAAATTCTATCAGCATCACCACTACTTGGCTTAGTACTTTTTCATCACCAAAAAATGCAAACTCCCTAGCCTTAAGCAATCACTCCCCGTTTCTTCACTCCTTCCAGTCCCTGGCAACCACTACTCTGCTCTCTCTATAGACTGGGCTATTCAGGTTGCTTCATATAAATGGCCTCACACAACCTGTGATAGTTTTCCGTGTCTGGCTTCTTATACTCATTTGTGTAACAAAATTTGGCAGTGTATGAAAGACACTGGAAAACATGACAACTGGGTTGCATCAAAGGCTCAAGATCATATAAACCGTATAAACCAAAGTCAAAATAAAAACAATCTTTCTCAATAAGAAATTAAAAAGTTATTTTTTATATATGGGTTAATGATAAATGTATCGCCTGAAAATCTATTCCTATATATGAAAAAAGATAGGGAGAAGGGGATAGGAGTATGTCAAAGATATTACTCTGGATTCCTCAGACATTAACAACATTGATCTGGAAAACTAATTTAATGATTATCTTCACCGAAGATACATTTTTTTAAAAGATTTTATTTATTTATTTATTTAAGAGGTTGAGTTAAAGACAAAAGGAGGGAGGGAGGAAGGGAGGGAGAGGGAGAGGGAGAGGGAGAGGGAGAGGGGGAGAGAGAGAGAGAGAGAGAGAGAGAGAGAGAGAGAGAGAGAGAGAGAGAGAGAGAAAGATCTTCTGTCCATTGGTTCACTCCCCAAATGGCTGCAACAACCGGAGCTGGGCCAATCCAAAGCCAGGTGTCAAGAGCTTCCACGTGCATGCAGGGGCCTAAGCACTTGGGCCATCTTCTGCTGCTTTCTCAGGCCATAGCAGAGAGCTGGATCGAAAGTGGAGCAGCTGGGACTCAAACCAGCACCCATATCGAATGCTGGCACCACAGGGAGAGAAAGCCCACTACACCACAGCACTGGCCCCAAGATATAAATATTTTAAAGATTGATTTATTTATTTACAAGGCAGAGTAACAGAGGAGTGGGGGGGAGACACACAGAGAGATTTTCCACCTGCTGATTCACTCCCCCAATGCTTCAAACAGTAAGGGTGGGGCCAGGCCAAAATCAGAAACTTCGTTATAAGTCTCCCACGTGGGTGGCAGGGACCCAAGCCTCCAAGGCATTATCCATTGCCTTCCTTAGGTGAATTAGCAAGAAGGTTTATCAGAAGTGGAGTAGCTAGGACTCAAACTAGCCCTCCAAGATGGGGTGTACAAGCCCCAGCCGGTGGCTCAACAACCTACTGTACCACACCACCTACCCCAAATATATAAATCCTTAAAAACAAAACCTCATTGTTTCAAACCACAGATGGCTATTTCTTATTAACACTAAAATTAACAGGATAGTTTTAGAACTTTTCTGGTAGCCTGAGGAAAATTCACTTAATATACTTTCTTTAGACTGCTGAGGAAAACATGATCCTTCTATGAGTTCTGAAATCCATTTTCAATATTCCTATAAAAGAACCCAGAGTATGAAATTACTGACCACCAGGACAGTAATTTCAATTACTAAGGGTTTCATATCAAGCACCCTTAGCTTTCCCCCGAATGGTCAAATATGACAAAAGATAACATATATGATGGCATCAGCTTAATGTTTTATCTGAAAGGCAGACAGAAATATAAAGGAAATAGAGTGCTCCCATCTGCTAATTCACTCCTCAAAGGCCCACAACATCTGGAGCTGAACCAGGTTGAAGTTGGGAGCCTGGAACTCAACCTGGATTTCCCATATGGGTGGTGCAGACCCACATTCTGAACCTTCTCCTGCTGCCTCCCCTGGTGTGTGCTGAGCTGGGACCCAATAAGGCATCCACTGCTGAGTGTTAACACCCGCTTCTGATGGTAACTCTCATTCACCCAGTTTTGACTTTTCTCTGAGAACAATCCAGTGTCTCCTAAATTTAACATGTCTTAAACCAAACCTGTCGTCTAACACTCAATGTACTCTTCTCTTCAACAGTGATGCAGTTTTCCAAGTTTAACTCTAGCACTCCTGCCTGTTCACTAAATAAATGCTCACATTAAGTCAACCCAGTGTCTACCCTTGTCCACAGAGTCACAAAGTCACTAAAAAATCTGAAAGATCTCTTCGAAACTTATTATCCCATCAAATGGACCATTTATGAAGACATACTCATGCAATACTGGACACCAAGTTGGATGGTAGGCTCCACTGGGACCACTTATGTCACAAAGCTCCTGACCCCTTCTTCATCAACAAATACCTACAACTTCTTTATAGTAACTTTCATGACTCTGCCACCTTCTTTTTTCCTCTTATACTTGAGGAAGAAAAGAGAAAACACACATAGTCACCTTTTCTCCCCTCCCCAGCACTTGAAGCCCTTTTAATTGGCTAATCCATATTGTGGGTCTCTATGAAATGGAGAGGAAATAAAGATGCATGTAAACTATGGAAGCAAATCTCATGACTCTGAATCCTCACTTGCAACTTTCAAAAAATTTTCATTCACTTGGGAGGGGGGGAGAGAGGGAGGGAGAAGGCATATGCGTGCACTAGAGAACTACTTTTCATCAGCTAGTTTACACCCCAAATGCTGACAACAGTCAGAGCTATGCCAGGCAAGAGTCCTGAATTCCATTGGGGTCTCCCACATTTGAGTGGTAGAGAACCAATTACTTGACCCACCATCTGCTGTCTCCCAGGGTGCACATTAGCAGGAAGCTGGATTAAAAGTACAAGCAGGACTTATCTCAGGCACTCCCATATGGGGTATGGGTGTCCCAAGCAGTAGTTGATTCACTGTGCCACAATGCCTATATCCTAAGCCTGCAATTGTGTCCTACTGTGCATAAATCATGTAATTTCCTTCAGTCCTTTAAGGCCATGTGTGAAACCCTTATGTACGTATTACAAGAGCAAATGGGTGGCCGGCGCTGGCACACCAGGTTCTAGTCCCGGTCGGGGCGCCAGATTCTGTCCCGGTTGCCCCTCTTCCAGGCCAGCTCTCTGCTGTGGCCAGGGAGTGCAGTGGAGGATGGCCCAGGTGCTTGGGCCCTGCACCCCATGGGAGACCAGGAAAAGCACCTGGCTCCTGCCATCGGATCAGCGCAGCGCGCCAGCTGTGGAGGCCATTGGAGGGTGAACCAACAGCCAAAGGAAGACCTTTCTCTCTGTCTGTCTCTTTCTCACTATCCAATCTGCCTGTCAAAAAAAAAAAAAAAAAAAAGAGCAAATGGGTTACTATATGCAAACCATGTAGAACAATGTCTCATACAGAGTAAACAATTTATCACTAATTTGTAGCTCCAAGAGGACAAGACAGGGATTTCCGTTTTGTTCACCAAGAATCAATAACATATTTCATTTCAAGAATGGCAGATACTCAGCAAGTTTTGCTGGAAGAATGACTCCATAACTAACTTAGGACCTTCTTCCTACAACTCCTGCAAAGTCTTAAATTTTATGATGCTTTTCCCCAAAATCATTCACGACCTAAGTCTTTCAAGCACAACACAGGCAACTCAAATTTGTGCCCCTTATCAAAATTTGAAAGTCATAACGTCCTGAGGATCATTTTGGAATAAACAGAAGAATTTAAAAATTTTAAATCATTTGAAGCCAAGGATCTACTAGGTAGCACAAAATGTGACTTTGCAATCTTTCTGAACTAATTGTACAAACCTTTGTTCAAATATCTTTTTTTTTTTTTTTTGACAGGCAGAGTTAGACAATGAGAGAGAGAGACAGAAAGAAAAGTCTTCCTTTTTCCATTGGTTGTGGTTCCTACAGCACATAGCATAAACAAAATCCAATATTCTTAACCCTGTACGGAATCCAATATTCTTAATCTCCTCTAGAGATTCTACTTTCCTTATCCAGACTTACCCTTTTGGCTCTGTCTCTAAGAAATTTCTGTTCTAGCACAAATTCCTATCACACAGACTCTGGTTACAATATCTTATTCCTGATGTGCAACTTTCTACTAGCTTCTTCACTTAAACAAAAAGCAAAAAAATTCCTCATCCCTTGAGACAAAGCTCAAAACCCCACTCTATAAAGACTCCTTTTTCTAGCCAGGCTCATCTTGAGCATGCACGTGTGAGTGAGAGAATACACACAGGCACACACATCTCCTTCCAACCCCACAGGTAACAACTCCCAGAATGCTGAAACAATATCTTAGATACATGACAGAGAAAACAGAATACAAAATGCTAAATACATTTGCTATTAGAATGATTTATTCCGGGCCGGCGCCATGGCTCACTAGGCTAATCCTCCGCCTAGCAGCGCCGGCACACCGGGTTCTAGTCCCGGTTGGGGCGCCGGATTCTGTCCCGGTTGCCCCTCTTCCAGGCCAGCTCTCTGCTGTGGCCAGGGAGTGCAGTGGAGGATGGCCCAGGTGCTTGGGCCCTGCACCCCATGGGAGACCAGGAAAAGCACCTGGCTCCTGGCTCCTGCCATCAGATCAGCGCAGTGCGCCGGCCGCAGCGCGCCGGCCGCAGCGGCCATTGGAGGGTGAACCAACGGCAAAAGAAGACCTTTCTCTCTCTGTCTCTCTCTCACTGTCCACTCTGCCTGTCCAAAAAAAAAAAAGATTTATTCCTCACTAGAAGTCCAATGCCCTATCCATTGTGCCACAGAGCCAATGGATAGGACATTCAATTAACAATTTAGCTAACAGGTAACACTACTTATGGGTGTAGTCTAGTTTATCATATTTAAACACATACAAATTTTCAAATAAGGATTTCTTTCAGAACACCTCATCTGGAAATAATCCACAGTTTAATGTAACTCAATGTGCTGAAGAAAGGAGGAAGAAGAGAGGTCCTAAGAGGATGGGAGAGGGTGGAGCAGAGAAGGGGGGCTAAATAAACACTTACTTTTTGCATCTAACAGAGCTACCAAAATTTCTGACCCTTCCAAGTATAAATTTTCATTAATAAAAAGCCATCTATCTTCTAAGAAACACAAAAGAGCAATGAGTATATGGTCCAGAGGTTAAGACACTGGCATAGATACCTGCATCCCATTGGAGAATGAGTCCTGGCTCCACTCCTAATTTCAGTTTCCTACTAATGTTCACCCTGGGAGGCAGCAGGTACAGGTGATAGCTCAAACAGTCACTGTAACCCATGTTGGAGACCTAAATTGAGTTCTAGCCAAGACCTGGCTGTTGTGGGCATTTAGGGAGTAACCAGAGGATGGGAGACGGAGCTCTATGTATGTCTCTCTCCCTCTCTGTTTATAAAATAAATAAATTTTAAAACAATAAATAAATAGATTCTTACAAAAAAGAAACAAAGGAAATTTGCCTCTGTGCTCCTACAGCAGAGGAAGATATTTAGGCTTCATAAAAGAGGCCTAAAGAATTAATTTGATAAGGTGTTAAACTGAGAACATCCACATGAATGTGCATCTTATTTCCTGTGCAATATGTATACCTGTGAATATTCATTCTGTTCCCAATTTGTTTTACTGAGTTAAAAAGAATCTGCCCATGAAAGTATTATCTGTTCAAAAAGATCTTATGTAAGACTCTTAAGACTGAAAAGTGTTGTCATGTCCTATATAACCTTCGAAGATAAACCCATAATTCTGGGCCCCTGTGTGAAACGCTTATGTAAGGGTCTTGTTGATAATCTGTTGCCCTATGATATTATAATTAATATTTCAGTTTCTTATTTGGAAATTCTTCAATACCATGTTTTAGCTTCTCTTCAAACTAACCTCTGGCTATCAGACTTTTCCTGAAAGTCAGCATGACTTTCTGTAGATTCAAAGCTATCTCAACAGATGAAACACACACACACACACACACACACTGCTAAATGGGAATTTGGTGTGACTTCAATACAACTGATAAATTTCCTTATAAAAATAAATACAGGGAAGATAACAAATAATGTTCACTATATCATTTGATCCATTCAGAATAGTTTTAAGAACATATTTGAAATGTCAAAATAAAAAAGACCACTTCTGCTGCATTACTTTATAACAGAATATGAAGGAAAACATTCAAATGGGAAAAATCATATTTAACTGACTGATATGAAGAAATCCTAAAAGGTAACAACACATGTATACTTAACAAAACTAAATATATGTAAGTGTACTATAGTAAGCAAAGCAAAAATCTGAGTTAAAATGTTTTCATTTGGCAATTTCAAAGCCAAAACTTTTTCATATAAAATCCTTTATATTAAATGATTATATTAAATCCTTTCTTATAATCTCCAATTTACAATATTATTAATACGGAAAAAAATTTGCTTACCCGTTTTATTGTCAAAAAATTTGATGTGTCTATCTTCATGAGCAGTTATTGTTACAGGAAGTGTGGGATGGCTTACTACTCTGTTAATGTGATTAATAGATTGTAAACCTGAAGAATAAAGGAAAAAAAAGATTAAAATTCAAACCTTCAGCCAGAAGTTGAATAATGAATGACCTTCTGAGTCTTACAAAAATGTAAGGGTCATTAAAACAAAAGCTTCTACATAACACAAAGTATCTGAGAATCAAACAGGGGGAGGATCTACTTTTTAAAGAAAATAAACATTTATAAAACTTCTGTCAAGTAAAAAAAGAAAAAAAAATCAAATATTTATCACATCCTATAATACAGATCATTTAATATACAAATTTAGAAAAAATTCTGTATCTTGATTCTTGATGCAGATCCCAAGTATAACCGATTCAGATTTTTTTTTTTTTTTTTTTTGGACAGGCAGAGTGGACAGAGAGAGAGACAGACAGACAGAGAGAAAGGTCTTCCTTTGCCGTTGGTTCACCCTCCAATGGCCGCCATGGCTGGTGCGCTGCGGCCGGCGCACCGCGCTGATCCGATGGCAGGAACCAGGTGCTTATCCTGGTCTCCCATGGGGTGCAGGGCCCAAGCACTTGGGCCATCCTCCACTGCACTCCCTGGCCACAGCAGAGAGCTGGCCTGGAAGAGGGGCAACCGGGACAGAATCTGGCGCCCCGACCGGGACTAGAACCTGGTGTGCCGGAGCCGCAAGGTGGAGGATTAGCCTAGTCAGCCGCGGCGCCGGCCCCAATTCAGAATTTTTAAAACACCTAGAATCATTACTACTTTTAATAAACAACCCATAAAGAAATCATAAGCAGTTAAGAAAGAAAAAACTTTTAAGTGCTAATTACACATGTGCCAAGAAATAGCCCCATTCTATCCACAACAATAAAAACAAACAAAAAACCCAAAGAACCTAAATGAATGTTCTTCAGGAATAAGATATTTTAAAAATTTGTTTATTTACTTATTTATTTGAAAGGTGAAGTGACAGAGAGAGAGAGAGAATGAAAGAATGAGCTTCCATTTACTGGTTTACTCCCTAAATGCCTGCAACAGCCAGGGCTGGGCCAGGCCAAAGACAGGAGCCTGGAACTCCACCCAGATCTCTCAACAGGAATAGCGGGAATCCAAGTACTTGGGCTGTCATCTGCTGCCTCCCTGGGGCATTAGCAGAATCTAGATCCAAACCATGGAGTAGCTGGGACTTAAACCAGGCATTACCATGTAAGATAAAGGCCCTAAGCAGTGGCTTAACCTTCTGAGCACAACACTCACCCTAGAGATGAGATTTTTCTCCATTACTAAAGAAGTTCTCAAGTTTTAATTAAAAGAGGGATGAGAACAGAAAATGATCTAAACAAAAATTTACCAACATTATATTTTAAATCTAACTTCTGAACATCTGACTGTATATAAGAATGCTCACACTAAAATACACGAGTGAGAGAGAGAGAGAGAGTGTGTGTATACATACTATGTAGGAGGGAAAGAGAAAAGAGTTGAAAAGACAATGGGAAAGATATTTTGAATATAACTTGATATGAGATTTGATGCTGGAACCATGAAAATATTTTACATAATTATAAAATGAAGTTCAGGGGCCAGCGCAGTGGGCTAATAAGGCTCTGCTTGCAGCACCAGCATCCCATAGGGGCACCTGTTCTAGTCACAGCTGCTCCAATTCTGATCCAGCTCTCTGCTATAGCTTGGGAAAGCAGTGGGAGATGGCCCAAGGGCTTGAGCCCCTGAACCCACATGGGAGACCTGGAAGAAGCTCCTGGCTCCTGGCTTCGGATCAGCCCAGCTCAGGCCATTGCGGCCATTTGAGGAGTGAACCAGTCTCTCCCTCTGTCTTAACTCCACCTCTCAACAAAATAAATAAAATGTTTTAAAAAAATGTTTGAATATCTACTAAAATAATCAAGAGTAAAATTACACAAAATGACCTTAACTGTATATCTAACTAGTGGTCTGGCCACAAAGTATTGAACTATTCCATGTGACTTTAAAGTATAAGACAGGGTGCAGAATATATCCCAAGTATAAACTATTATTGGTAAACTATCAGTAGTTATGATATTATTGAGACAACTGAATGTGTACTAAGGGAAAAATCAAATGAGATAATGATGACGATATTTTTGACAATCAAAATACATCTGAATTTCAACTGGAAGTATTTTACTTAAAAAAATGCCTATTTCCTAGCTTTGCTCATCAAAAAAAGATAAAAGAATGAACTCAGAAGATGGTAGAAACAAAATGTCATTTCCCACAAAAGGAAACTGCCTTGAGAAAGGCCTAATTTCAGATCTGGGCACAAAATATAGAACATTCCATCATTTTAGAAAGCAAGAAAGTTAACTACCAAGGTCATGTCAGAAAAAGTCAGGAGGCCAGTGCCGCAGCACAATAGGCTAATCCTCTACCTAGCGGCGCCGGCAAACCAGGTTCTAGTCCCGGTCGGGGCGCCGGATTCTGTCCCGGTTGCCCCTCTTCCAGGCCAGCTCTCTGCTGTGGCCCGGGAAGGCAGTGGAGGATGGCCCAAGTGCTTGGGCCCTGCACCCCATGGGAGACCAGGAGAAGCACCTGGCTCCTGCCTTCGGATCAGCGCAGCGTGCCAACCGCAGCGCGCCAGCCGTGGCGGCCATTGGAGGGTGAACCAATGGCAAAAGGAAGACCTTTCTCTCTCTCTCTCTCTCACTATCCACTCTGCCTGTCAAAAAAAAAAAAAAAAAAAGAAATGAAGAGAAAGAAAGCTCGATCGTTGATCGATCGATCGATTGATTCAGAATCCACTTGATTAAGTTCCCACTGGCCAAAATAAGACAGTATGTTCAGAGAGTATAATGAATTAAAGTATGTTACTTATATTTATGTCCATGAAACACTATAGTACCCAAAAACAACATCCTCACTACTCACCTATGGAAGATGCTAGTGAAAAACCTCATTATCGTAAAAACTTACAAAGAGAAAAATATCAATCACTTATCTTGCCTTTCCTTAAAAATTGCTAACTCTAAGTTAACCAACTTGTTGATGAGGAAATGTTTCTTTTTATAGAGTTATTCTAGCTATTAAGGGGAGAAATGAAGATAGAATTAGAAAAATCACTTTGAACAGTTAATGAGTTAACAGACCAATACAATAATCAAGACTGGAAACATCACTGAAGATAAACAACTAGAAAATATTTTACCTCTTCTAAGAGTTCACAAATTACCTATGAAGTAGTCTTAGCAAAAATACTTAAAAATTTAAACAAGGAGAAAAAACACTAAACTTGAATTTGAATAAGCCTCTGGATCTGCAACCAGTCTACACGAAATAAAATGGACAAAGAAGCATATTAAATGATACGACATGGATGTGACCAGCAAATTTAGAACATGAGGAAACTCAGTAAACTAGCCAATTCCATCAACTTAAAAAATAAAAAGCAAGGAAAGTAAAAGATGGAGAAGGAACCCATTGATGAAGAGGCATAAACAACCCCTCAACCAATCTTTTTTTTTTTTTTAAGGGGAAGGGTTTATTGGGGAAAACCCAGCAGACCAGAGGGAAGGGGCAAAGAGGGAAAGAGAGGGAGAAGGAAACTGTTAAGAGACAGAGAGACACAGGAGAGGAGCTAGTGAGGAGAGAAGAGAGAGAGCAGAGAGTAGAGCGCAGAGACGAAATGGGGAGAGGAGAGGAGAGGAGAGCAGAGAGGGCAAAGAGAGAGTAAGAGAGCCACGTGTTCAGGAACAGATCCTTTTAAAACTTTGCCGGAGGGTGGGTAGGGAAGCAGGAGCATAGAATCCCATTAGGATGGGGGTGGAGCTTGACACTGGTGGTTGGGCCATGTGGACACCTGGCTTCCAGCAATGGCGGCGGGGGCTAGAGCCTAGGATGGTGTCAGGGTGTAGATTGCGCCACAGATAAAACTGCTTCATTTTCCTAACATTCCCCCCTTTTGTTTTTTATAAAGCAGGGGTTGTATGGGATTACATTAGTCCCAAAAGTCCAGGAGGGGTAGAGGGACGATGATCTGTCTTTAGAGCTACTTCCTGCTGATATCTCAACCAGTCTGAACACATGAACCCAGGGCGTTAACCCACTGCGCCACAGTGCTGCCCCAATAACTTTTTAAAGTTTCAAAGAAGCCCATGAGAACTTACCAGAATCTACCTGTGATGAAAGCATCACCAATGACTGTGATGTTTCTAAATCATAAATTACTGCACTACCAGTGTTGAAAGAGGTCACCATATGAGCTGGATCACAGCCTATAAAGTCAACTGAAGTAGGTATTCCATGCTCTGAAAGGAGCCGAAAAAGATAAACTGTAAACACAGTACTTTGAAGTGTCTAATTTATTAGTAAGGAAAAACATTTAATTATTGAGATTTTCAGGTAAGAAGCAACTTTTCCTAAATTATATATATAGTGTTTTATTTGTAACACAACATTATAAGAAAAATATCAATGACAGAGCTCTAAGAGTATGCATATGTAAAAGTTGTTTGTTCTCCTATGCATCTTCTTCCAAGGGACCAAAAAAAAAATCCTAGGTGAGTCTTTTGGCCCACTTATTTATCATATCTTTTAGTGTCAAATGATAAATTAGCATTCTCACATCATTGTTCTCAGAGACTGTGAGGGTTCTATTATTCCTTCCTTATCAAATAACTAGTACAAGTCAAATTTTGGATCTATGAAAATAAAGATTGGACTCTGGAATCCACTGATGTACTAGTATTCTTAAATGGCATGAGGAGCAATTTTTCTCTTTAAACATACTGAACTCAATTAGCTAGATCAACACACAATTAAGTGAAATCTGAAGTCAAGCAATTACTTATCTGAATGATGAAAAAAAATGTCTAAACAAACTTTTACCTCTAAAGCTTGGGTAAGTGAAAAATTAGAAGCTGCTAACACATCAAAGAAATATGCAAGATTACGCAACATGTTACTCACCTAAAATGTTTTTAAACTGAACACAAATATAAGATCTGATTTTAAAAATAACTAAAAATTTTGATGACTTGGAAAAAATGATTGATAAAGCCATATAAGTAAGCATGCTTTCTAAAGAGTAAATAGATCAAGACTTCATTAAAAGAAAAAGATGTGAAATCATGCAAGTAACTAAGTTTGTACTTCCCAGCTACAGATGCTATTTTAATAATTATAGCTGGAGTCCCATCCAGCAAGCTCAACATTATATATACATGGTTTATAGGTATGCTTGAAATCCTGATCCCTTCCAGGCTTTATAAGTGGTCACCTGATACAGGTGGAATGTTTCCTATTGCCAGAGGTGTAGATTCAATTGTTTACCCCACTGTTAGATATAGTTTTATTTTTTAAATGGAACATGACCCAAAAAAGTCTAAAAGCACTATGGTGTATTTATGATGTCATACAATAAATGACTAGGAATAGCAAAGAAATAAAATCAATTGTTTTTCCTTTTTATCCTCCATAAGTTTTTCTCATACATGTAAATTTTACTCACCCTTGTCTCCATTGTAAGTGCAAATACATGGCAATTTTTCTTGTGGATTCCATAACCTAACAGTGCCATCTGCTGAACAAGATAGTAACTGATTTTTTATGCCACTATAAGCAAGACCCCAGACTGCATCTGAATGAGCAACTAAAGTGCCAGCTAGGACATTTGGCTCTGGGAAGAAACAAACAAATAAAATATTAGTTACAATAAGTGAAAAATAATGTTTTTGTTTATAAAGATAACTCACCATATAATTAAATACATAAGAAGATAAAACAAAATAAACATAGGGGCTACTTCTAGGCAGTGGAGTTATAAGTTATTTTTTTATCTCTTCCCCTCACCAATACTTTTCTGCATTTTCACAATTTTCTATAAGGAACAAATACTTAAAAAAAACTTCTGTAATATATCTTACATACCATCCCACTCACTCATTTAAAGGGTATGATTCAATTTTTTTAGTGTGGTCACAGATCTGTGCAACCACCACAACAATCAATTTTAAGACACTTTCATCATTGATTAGCCTAGTCCTCTTCCCCACCATTCTGCAGCACTAAGCAACCACTAATCTATTCTCTTTCTATAGATAGGCCTATTCTGGTCATTTTATATAAACACAATCACACAGTATGTGTAGGGTCTTTTGACTGGCTTCTTCCATTCAGCATAACATTTTCCACATTCATCCACGTTTTAGCATATGCGGTACTCAAATTCTTTTTATCATCAAATAATATTTCATTGTACAGATATTACCAAATTTATTTATCTATCCATCAATTGAGACATATGACAATTGAGACAATTCTGCTTTTCTAGTGAACTCCTACTTTCCAGGAATATTTATCTCCACAATCCTCAGTTCCCAACTTAATTTCCTCATTTCCTGCCACTTTATTTGTAATCTACTCTGCTTTCTTTCACATATAAGCAAGGAATTGTTCTTCCTAACAAAGGCTAATTCTACCAGGTACACTGAACTCACCAACTTGCTTTCAATGTTTACTATCTATTACACAAATTTTCCTCCCTGGAATCACCATCATGGGTACAGGAATCACCACCATGGTGGTGGTGGGGAGGGGTGGCGGGGCACAGTTTGAGAATCATTCAGCTCAAACTAGAAATCTTCATTAACATTTTCTGCTGAATGGCAGAAAAACACATCAAATAAATTCATTTCACCTCCCATTTACTCTTCAAATAACTATAATTTATAGTTTCTGATATGACTGCACCAAAATAACCCTTGCTAAAATCACCAGTAATGCCATCTATGAAATTTAATAAACTTTTTTCTTTGATGATACCAAACATTTGTTGTTGTTCCCAACATACTGCTTTTCACTCATATTATCTGATCTGAAAGATATAAACAGGTCCTTCTGGTCTACCTCAGTATTCTCCAGCTAAAATCAGAAGACCTGTTTGTCATTTATAAGAAGGAACCTTTTAATCTTCATATAACTGGACCTCAGCAATATCTGAAAATGCACATTGCTTCCTGCTTCCCAAAACAGTATGTTCTTTGCATATGCTTCATGACCTCACACTCTCCATTACCTCCCCCTACTTGTTAAAGTCACACCGTTTCCCTTGTTGGCTCTCTAGCTCTAGCTATCCTACCAATGTCAGTTACCAAGGACTTCAGTCCCAGGTGTCTTCTCTTCCTACCCTACACAGCACACTCTCACTGCATCATTCATTCGCACAGCTCTAAGTATCATCTGTACAGAGACGACATCATATTTTTACCTCCAACCCATTTCTCTTTGAGCTCACATCTGCACATTATCTCTTTAATACTGCCATTGCTTAATATGCCTAAAATATGAACTCAATGACTTACATCTCATCACACTTATTCTCTCTCCATTTCCATAAATGCTACCATCACATACTCAGTTGCTCATGTCAAAAACCCAGCACTGGTGATGAAAATGTTCTGAAATTAGATAGTGGTCATGGCTGCACAGCCCTGTGAACATAGTAAGAACTACTGAATTATGCACTTTTTCAAGTGATTTTTATGGTGTGATTTAAGATAAAAGCTATTAAAATAACACAACTAAGCAAGAGTCGCTCACTGATCACTTTACCTGCACAATACAATTTATCAACAAATCCTGACAATTCTACATTATTTGCCCACTGAACCTTAAATCTACTTCTAACTGTTCTAGCACCACCACTGTCGTCTTGGCAACATCACTAGTTGACTGGACTGTATTATAAGCAACCTCCGAATTGGTTGTTTCCACTCCTCTCATTCCATTATTTTCTTCTCACAAAAGTCAAAGTTGGGGTTGAAAATGGGGCATAGTAGGTAAAGCCACTACCTGCAATACCAGCATCCTGGTTGCTGGTTCAAGTCCTAGCTGGTTCCACTTCCAATCCAGTTCTGTTAATGTATCTGGGAAGGCAGCAAAGGATGGCCCAGGTGCATGGGCCCCTGCACCCACGTGAGACGCAAAAGAAGCTTTTGGATCCAGGCTTGGCCTGGCCCAGCTCCGGCCATTGCAGCCATTTGGGGAGTGAACCAGCGAATGAAAGATCTCTGTCTTTCCCCTTCTCTCCCTGTAACTCTGCCATTCAAATAAATCTTTAAAAACCAAACAAAGAGAGTCACAGTCATCCTTTTAACTCTACCTTTTTTTCAGGTCACTTCCTGATTTAAATCCTTGACTTAAAGTTCTCTTTTATCTATTAGATTCTGCTTGTTACTATTTTATTTATTTTTAAGATTATTTACATATTCATTTGAGAAGCAGAGACATCAAGCAAAAGCTCTCATCACTGGTTTACTCTGCAAATGCACATGATGACCAGGGCTGGGCCTAGGCCAAAATCAGGAGCTAGGAACTCAATCCAGGTATCTCACATGAGTGGCAGGTATCCAACTACTGGAGCTATCACTGTTGCCTCCTAGGGTATGTTTAGCAGGAATCTGCAGTCAGGAGCAGAAGCTAGTTACCAAATAGGGGTCACACACCAACAGGGGTCACAGGTGTCTTCATCCCTAGGCCAAATGCCTGCCCCAGCTGTTACTATTCAGGTAAACATCTTCTGACTATTCATCTAAAGAAAGTTCCATCTGTTACTCTCACAATATTCTATGTATCATTTGTAACAATTTGTAACCACAGACTTCTATCCCCCTTATTTGTTTAACCTGTTACCTTTCTCATTAAACTAAATCTTATACCTGATACAGTGCTTCCCACTATGCCTGACAAAATGCAGCAAGTGTATGTTAAGCTAAAAGAACAAGTAGATCATAAACATTTTAACCCTTTATAATTATGGCCAATACCCTTGTAAATATTTGGAGACATAGGCAGGTATTTCTGTGGGAGAGACTTCTAAGGCTGCTATTTGTTAGTCAACGTTTTAGAAATTTTTTCTTATCCACTTTGAAACCAAAGAATTTTTTTTCCTCCTCTGAGAAAGACAGAAAGAACTTCCATCTGCTGGTTACTTCCCAAATGCCCTCAATTAGCTAGCATGGGGCTGAATTTAGAAGATTCTATGGAGGCCTCCCACAAGGAGGGTATTAATTCTAACTCCCAGGGTCTTCATTAGGAGGAAGGTGGAGTCTGGGGCCAGGGCAGAGTGCAGATTGCAGATACTTCAATATAGTATACAGGTATCTGAACTTGTGTCTTAACTGCTAGGCTAAATTCCTGCTCCTTAAGAATTTTCTGCCAAATAAAATGCTGTATGAGTTACACCCTTACTGTAACTATTTGTTTCCATCATCTTCCACTTAACATTGTTAATGCAACCTAATTCAACTTTAAAGTTTGTTACTTAGATTTTGTTTTCTTCTTCTTTTTGTAATTAGTACTGAAAGAAAAAAAAAAAAAAACTGTGATCTTTTTACTTACCATATGTGTCATATGGATCCACATTGGGGCTAGGCATATTCCACCACTGGATGGTTGCATCAATACCTCCACTAAAACACTGTTCTCCATTAGAACTAATAGCTAATGATAGAACAGGGCCACTGTTAAAAAAGGGAGAAAATTACTTACAGATTCTAGGAGGAAACTCAAATGCCCATTCTCCTAATCTTTAAATTTATATGGCATCTAAAAATTGTTTTAGGTAAACATGTACATTTGAACAATACTATTATATTCATATTCTCATCAAATCAATTATCAAACAAGATATTCAACTAATGTATTTTATAATATAAAACAAATGTTGAAAAAAATTACAAGGTGTAAGGATAACTAATAGTTAACAATAATTATAGCTGTTAATTAAGTACTATAGTTCAATAAAACTTACATGTGGGCCCTAAATGTGTAGATAGGCTCTACATCTAAAGAGGCACTCCTAGAAAATGGGGGAAAAGGGTCGGGAAGAGAAGACAAATCACTGGTTATCAAAAGAATCATCAGGTAGATCAAATGTGTGCATAAAAGACATGAGATAGAAAAAAGAATAATTAACATATTAGCAAAATAAGTAGAAGAAAAAACAGACAAACATTAAAATACTTGCTTTTTGGCTGGAACTGTTTTTTGCAAGTTCCAAAGTTTCAAGGTATGGTCCTCAGAGGCAGTGACCAGCACAGGTTCTACAGGATGAAAAGCTAATGCCCGTACTCCATCAAAATGGCTACGCAGTGTATACTTGGGGTTCCATGTTTTTCGAAAGGCATCTTTATTGGCAGGCAACTAAAAAGAAAGAGTGGAATATTTAGTGGTAAAAGTTATAAATTGGTAGGCAAGTGGAATTTTTGTGTGTTTAAAACATATATTTAAAACTGTTTGGCAAAAATGTCCAGTGGAAAAGTAATGACCTCAAAAACTTTGTAACAAATCTTTATAGTTTAATAAGAACTCAGAAGAATTTCAATAGCCTTTCAAATACCAAGATCAAATGAAGAGTTCCATAACCTATCGACATAATTATCAAGCTAAACACAAAGCTCCTATCATACATCAGATGAGAACAAAATAACTACCATTGCTGCAATATTTTACACAAATACAAAGTAAAATATATAAATTATTACCAAATATCCAAAGGTACAATAATTAAAAGTATAGTTGCCAATTAGGAAATTTATTAGCATGTGAACTTTAATAAGGCAGCAAATTAAGGTACTTTCTAAATGTCTGAACTAAAGACCCTTTATGCATATTTTCATAATTCTTGATATTGATGCAGGTTAATGTTTTTATTTTTCCATTTGTAAGGATAGTTTGTGAAATCAGTTTTAAAGTAGTGAAAATTTACAACTTCATTGCTTACACACTTTAAAAATATTATCAAGAATAATCCAGCCGAGCAAGGCTGATGACTCTAAAAGGCATGTTAACATAATTAAATGTAGTAAAATGAATTGCTATAAAAGGAAAAACATTGCTGAAAAACTCCAATTCATTAACATAAAATCTAAAATATAGTTAACTCTCAATTGATTGCTCAATGTCTAGAAAAAAAATTAATCCAAGACTAGTTTCACCTCTAACACTGTCTTTCCCATCTACTCCCATCCCGCTAATGAGAGTTAAGTATTCAGAAAATGATGCAAGCTAACTTTAACAGTATCCTTAAGAAAATCTAAGATACATGCTTTTAGGTATCCTGAAGGTAAATAAGTTATTCAGATTATCTATTTTTCTTTCTTGTCAACACCAAATAACATAATTTGAATAGATAATTGAGAGTTGACTACTCAGGAGGTATTTATAATCAATATTTTAAGACAATCATTCCAAACTCCTAGCCAATCCACCAAAATACCTAAGAAAAATTTAAACACCACAAAGAAAATACTTATAAAAGAAAAACTACATGTCACTTCAAATCAACACAATGACACACTTAAACTTGTCTTTTCCATGCACCTTGACATTAATTCTGTTTTATTAGTGATTCCAAAAAATAAGGAGCCTTCTATTAAATCATTAAAAAATTAAAAATAAAACTGCACTTACATCATAACTATAGTCTGCATCATTTGTTACCGTCAAGTCTGCAAGGTCTCCAAGGCCCAGTACACTTAACAAAACATCATCAGAACCCATAATAAATGACTTGCCTCCTCCAGATGGAAACGTTATTGGTTCAGCTATAAAGAACAAAACCGCTTCTTAAATGCTGAAAAATCATACAGTACAAGACAATATTGTGGGGGAAATTTAAGCACTTAACAGTTACAATATTCAGTAATATAATTAATTTCTAATTTCCCACTTCTACTCCAAAAATTCTATTACTGGGTAGTAATAAAAAAATGTTTCAGAACTACAATGTAGTTATCTCCCACTAATCAAATGTGCACTACATATATTACTCAATGGTGGGAAGCGAGGCACAAAAGCTTTACTTAAAAATTTCTTATTGTCTCAGTATAATTATAACTATAGTTCACATGTTAAATAATAGGACAAATTTTTATTTAATAAGTGTTAAATATCAGAATTCAGCTATTCATGGCAAACAAATCCCTACCATTGGCCTCAAAGTAGCTCATATAGTTTTTTTTTTTTTTTAAGTAACAGGCTGTTGGTGAAATCAGTCTGCTTTCTCAAGATACACTAAGTATTCTAGTCTGTGATGAAAACATGAGCATTCATACATAATTGGTTTCCCAGTAGTCTGATATATGGTGTGTTAGTATACTGGAATGAAGCCTTAACTGCTAAGATTCTTCAAGTAACAGCAACAAGTCTAGGGGAAAAGCAGTTCTATCACCAACATCAATTTCCTGAAAGTCAGTTAAACCCATGTAATTTTCAAAATATCTTTTAGCTTTAAAGCTCTATCATTTTTATTTTAATGTCCTCTTTTATTTACCTTGACACTTCTAAAATGAAGTAACTCATGTATACTGAATAACTAATTAATTAAATTTCTGATCAAAATTATCTGCTCAATTATTGAATTTCAAACTAAATTCAAGTGAAAGCTTCATTTTTACTTAGTTTTCTCTTTTGTATCATGTGTATTACAAGTTTCTATGTTAATATTAGCAGTTCTAAGTAATTTAAAATCTGTTTTTTCTCAATTATTACTGACCAATTATACTCTGCCATAACTTGAAAGACTATATATTATGATCCAAATGTTTTGCCATAACAGTGACAGTATAAGCAATAACTCTCATTATCATCTCAGATATATGCTTTGAAAGCTTAATTTTAACATTAAGATGTCAGGGAGAATTGCTCAGGTTATTACCATTCAAAACAACGCATTACATCAAAACACATTTAAAACGTATGAACAAATTTAAACAGTAAACATAAAAAAAATCAGGCTGATTATCAAGTTTGAAAAATTCCTATGAAAAAGGTGATAAAAATTTCATATGCTACAGAAAACACAGCTGGAGTAGTGAAATTTGACAGTCACTACTAGTAACACTGAAAATTCTGAGAAGATACAATTCATATATCCTATGGCAAAAGTAAAATTTATCTTTATTTAAAATCTCTTGATTTTTATTGGTTTATTCTATTAAGATAGGCTACATAATTTGACTCAAATAAGGTCCTAAAATGAAAGCGTGATCCAGTGATTGATCTAGAGTGCATCTGAAAACATTGGATAGAAAAAAATTTAGAGATACTAAATAGTATTTAATCTTTCGATGATTATACTTATTTAATTTGAACAATCTGTACACTGATATTTCCTAGCAAAATCTAGTACGCAGCAATGGGTAAAACCAGAAGTAATCAAGAATAAACTGGTTTACTTGAAGTATTGTCAGTACAAAGAAATGCTTCCTAGTTTGCTGCTAGACAAGATAAAACAAAGTGCCACAACTCTACTCTCAATTATATAATCATTAACACAAATCTTAATAAAAAACCAATAAAATAATTTAAAACAAATTATTCTGTATTGCATACTCTTTTTGCAGAATTATTTCTGACCAGCCTTTTCATTAGATTTCTTTCTTTACATGCATGTAAAGGGAAGTATCTAGACAATATTGAGCTTTAAATTAATTGCGTTTAACAAAGAATTAGTATTATATTTATTTCTAATTAATCATTTGACATTTCTGACCCTTTCTCTAAATACACATGTACTTTTAAAAGTTCATGGAAAACAGAATTCAAATTTTATCTGGATGTCAAAAAATTTGAGATCCATGGATAGTTTTTCTGTAATACCTATTTTTCCACGAACTTTTTACACAAATATATCTATTTATATATGACAAGCTATTCTGCTTACTCAGATTTTTCTCTCCCCCTCCCTCACCTCCAAGAAAGCTTTCCACATCACTATGGCATATAGCAATCACAGTAGATATTCAGTTTGTCTGTCTTCGCATTCCCTGCAGGGAGAATTAATTTCTTACCTACAAATTCACTTTATTAATGTTAATACAAAGACCTACAGTACATGGTTATGCAAACATAACAATCCCACCAGTAATTCAAAGAAAATAAAATTAAGTTTTTTATTTAATGATGCAAATTATAACATTTTTATGATGTTGTCTGAGAAATTTTATCAAGCAAATTATAGTATTAACTTTTTTTGGGGGGGGCAGGCAGAGTTAGACAGTGAGACAGTGAGAGAGAGACGAGAAAAAGATCTTCCTTTTTCCGTTGGTTTACCCCCCAAGTGGCCGCTAAGGCCGGCGCATTGCGGCCGGCGTGCTTCACTGATTCGAAGCCAGGAGCCAGGTGCTTCCTCCTGGTCTCCCATGCGGGTGTGGGGCGCAAGGACTTGGGCCATCCTCCACTGCCTTCCCAGGCCACAGCAGAGAGCTGGACTGGAAGAGGAGCAACTGGGACATAATCTGGCCCCCCAACCGGGACTAGAACCTGGGATGCCGGTGCCGCAGGCGGAGGATTAGCCTATTGAGCCATGGCGCCGGCCTAGCTTTTTTTCTTTATAGCAATCTTAGGTCTACAAAATGGTACCTTAAAACAAGCTAGCGCTGTGGCTTAGTGTGTAAAGCCACCGCCTGCAGTGCCAGCATCCCATATGGGTGCCAGTTCAAGATGTGGCTGCTCCATTTCCGATCCAGCTCTCTGCTATGGCCTGGGAAAGCAGTAGAAGATGGCCCAAGTTCTTGGCCCCTGCACCCATGTGGGAGACCCGGAAGAAGCTCCTGGCTCCTGGCTTCATATTGGCACAGCTCTGGCTGTTGTGGCCATCTGGGGAATGAGTCAGTGGTTGGAAGACCCCTCTCTCTGTGCCTCTGCCTCTCTGTAACTCATTCAAATAAATAAATGAATCTTTAAAAAAAAAAGTCCTTTTCATAGTTCTATTAACTAGTCCTCATTGTAATGGACAGTATGACCAAACAAGGTTGTAGTTTACACACCAAATTCTTTCTTTCTCATCCAGTTTCATCAAACTTAAAGAATACAATCTAGTAATTCTTCTTAATTATGACAGTGGCAACATGGTATGTCTCAAGTGTTTAATAACTAACAGTCTCAAAGTTTGTAATGTTTAAGTGCCTCTCCTAGAAAACAGACCTTTCCTCTCTATAAATTGAAGTATGACATAGGTTTCACAATAAAAGTATGAAGTTGCAGGTTGTCACCTAAAATGAACTTAATGAATGTTCCCTTCTTAGATCAAAGTTGAACTCAAACCTCTTCAAATTTAAATAAATTCTAGTAAGAGTCACCCTTTGGTGAGTAATGAATCTCAAATTTATCAAATCTCCACCCCTCGCCTTCCTTCCACCACTGTAAATTAATCACTGAGTTTTTCTTACACACACACACACACACACACACACACACACACACAAAATGGAAACTCCTAACCTGGTTTTTGTGTAGAGTGTACCTTGAATGGCTTTTTCCTAAGTCATTAGTTTGAAACATTTTAAAAGATCCATGTTCTTTACTATTTGCTGAACTCTTTCACTTAGTGTAGGGTTAACATTGATCATTAAGTAAACTGAAAATTGGCCGGCGCCGCGGCTCAATAGGCTAATCCTCCGCCTTGCAATGCCAGCACACCAGGTTCTTGTCCCGGTCGGGGCACCGGATTCTGTCCCGGTTGCCCCTCTTCCAGGCCAGCTCTCTGCTGTGGCCCGGGAGTGCAGCGAAGGATGGCCCAAGTGCTTGGGCCCTGCACCCCATGGGAGACCAGGAGAAGCACCTGGCTCCCAGCTTCGGATCAGCGCGGTGCGCCAGCCGCAGCAGCCATTGGAGGGTGAACCAACGGTAAAGGAAGACCTTTCTCTCTGTCTCTCTCTCTTTCACTGCCCACTTTGCCTGTCAAAAATTTAAAAAGAAAAAAAAAGTAAGCTGAAAATAGATTTTTGTAAAAATTAAGAGTGGGAATGTGAGAGGGAGGTGGAGCAAGGATTGGAGCATGTGCAGGAAGGAGTGTAGGGGGGTGTCACTATGTTCCTAAATCTGTATATATGAAATACATGAAACTTATATAAATAATTTTTTTAAAAAAGGTCCATGTTCCTGCTAATATGGCCTAGCCTTAAAACACAAAATCTGCAGTTTAAAGTGCAATACTATAAAAATTTTAACTGTGTATTATTTGGTAAAGCAGATCAAAATCTAAAGAAGTTAAATTGCTAAACGCACCAAATGGAAAATAATAAAAAGTAATACAGTGGGTAAGTACATTTAACATTCCCTAAAGTAGCCAGCGCCGCGGCTCACTAGGCTAATCCTCTGCCTTGCGGCGCCGGCACACCAGGTTCTAGTCCCGGGCGGGGTGCCAGATTCTGTCCCGGTTGCCCCTCTTCCAGGCCAGCTCTCTGCTGTGGCCGGGGAAGGCAGTGGAGGATGGCCCAAGTGCGTGGGCCCTGCACCCCATGGGAGACCAGGAGAAGTATCTGGCTCCTGCCATCAGATCAGCACGCCGGCCGCGGCGGCCATTGGAGGGTGAACCAACGGCAAAGGAAGACCTTTCTCTCTCTCATTGTCCACTCTGCCTGTCCAAAAAAAAAAAAAAAAAAAAAAATTTCCTAAAGTAAAACAGAAAAACAGTGGAAGTAAGATCCAGAAAAAACAAAAAGACTTTTTCTTAACTTTTAATTTCTTTTGCTTTGGTCTCATTATTTAATGATTTTTACCATTCCTCAACTTTTCTTACAAATTAAGGTGAATGGATGAG